TTGTCCTTTGCTCGCGCGGGATGATGCCACGTCGTCGCTCAAGGATGAAGGAGTCAATCCCAAGCGTCGATTCTCCCTTTCCTCTTTTGGAATGGGTCGAAATTGCAGGGAAAGGTTGCCTCCCCTTATTTGTGAAAGTTTTTTTTATTTTTGAATTCGGAATTGGCCCTGTTTTGCCCAAATTTTGGTCCGTTTCCGAACCCATTTTTTTTCCTTCTATATAATCGTTGGTTATTCACTGTTAAGGGGGGGGGGGAAGAAGTTAGATTTAAAGAGAGAAACACAAGAAAAGATAGAAATTTACAGAGCATAAGTAAGCAAAAGAGTTTTGGGTGATAGTTGTTCATATTGCTGAAATTCTTAGGTTATTCGTTTACAATTCAAGGTTTCTATTAGAGTCTTTCGCTAGTGGTGTAGGTAAAAGCTTTGTCACTAGCTCGCTGTTCCGGTTTGCTGCTCGGCAAAAAGTAATCCTTTCTTCTTCTTTTAAGATTTTCATTTTGTTGTGTGTTCATCGCTAGATTAAGTTAGTGTATTCATTATTTGCTAGCAATTTTTAGTTTTGCTTTCTATTCTAGTATCTTAGTAGTATTAGTTAGTTTATTTATTTATTTTTATTTTAGTTATATCTTAGTAGTATTAGTTAGTTTTATTTATTTATTTTTATTCTAGTTATAAATGGTGTTTTTCTAAGCTGTCTAAGCTCATATCTCCTGTATATCTTTCTTGAGTTTCAATCTGTCTAGTTCTTTGTTTATGTCCTCTGTTTATCATTAAAGGTTTTATCTGTTGAATAAAGAGTGTTTGCTAGCATCACTCTGGTTCTTGTATATGAAAAAATAACCATGTGTTTATCTTTACTTGTTCTTGTTTCGATCGATAGCTTTTTTTTTCATTTCCCTCTTTAGACGCATAAGGAGATGTGATATGGAATTGTTGTGTTTAGTTATATCGATTCAAAAGGTTCCTTCTGGTGTTTTGAATGTCTGTCGTTGTTGCCTAAATGTTTTCTGTGTCTACTTATTTTGCAAAAATCTGTTAGTGCGAGTTGTATATACTGGATTCCCACTCCAACCGGGGACCTGCTTAAGTGAGAAATATTTTATTTTTGGGGCTGCTCTTTAGCATTTCCCAAAGAGTTATTCTCGGATGAATGAAAACCCTCGAATCTTATGCATTTGACTCTTTAACTCATTAACTTTAGATCCATGCTTGAATTGGTTGAGATAGGATTATTGTTTTAACTTGTCGAATGTGGCTGCCTGTTTGACTAAACAGTGATATGGTTTTATTCGTGTTTGTTTCTAAAATCTGAGCACTTTTGTTCCCATTTTTAAAGTTATCATTTGGTTAGTTTCTTTTTCCCTGTGTTGATTTTAGGGCATGCATGTACTTCTCTATTATTGTTTTTATAATACTTAATATTATGAGCATTGACATATGTGTTTATAGCATTATTTTTCTATATTAAAGTCAATGAGTTGTTACTAATGTATTCTATTTATGTTGCATGTAATTTGTCCGAGTTCGCCACGAATTCATTTCATTCCTCTTGCATTTTGGGAGAGCCATAAAGGCTCAAATTCCTCTTTCTGAGTCAGCCAGCCGTAAAAATCGACGAACAGGTTTCGAAGTTGAAAGAAAACTGAAGCAGACCAGAGAATTGAAAAGATTGGGCTCAAAAGGCCCGCTGTTTTTTAATTAAAAAAAAAATTGTATTTTGTTTGGGCCTAAGCCTTTTTTTCTTCCATTATCATTATGTGTTAGTTATTAGGACAGGTACCAAGTGCAAAAAGTGGGCCTAAAGCCCAACGAAAAATTAGCTTATATAAGGACAGGTACAAATGGGCCATAGGCCCAAAGCTGAAATCATGCCCAAGTACTGGCCCAGGCGGACAGGAGAACCAGACTTGGGTCCAAGTCTCTCGCTCTTTATTTATTATGTTTGTGTATATGTTATCGATTTTAAGGTTTCGAACATTCAAACCCCAGAAGACACTCATTTTGAATTAATCACTTAAACTAAATTATCCGTCTCTTACTTGACTTAAAAATAAATAAATAAGTTTACCAAATACTTCTTTTAAATAATATTGCAATATTTTTCTATTTCTCCCTTAAAAATTGTCCTAACTATAAGATAGTTCAGTTTTGCAATTCAAGCTAAGTTAAAAAATTAATTTAGCCAAATAGTTAATTACCGGATAACCGTATATTAGTGGGCATTTCGGGTGCGTTCAAACCCTTCTCGAAATGCTAATAAGAACCCCGAACCCCTTTTATGTTTTCAATAGATTTACTGTTTTAATCTTTTGAAAAATTGATTTTCTTAATTTTCCTTCAAAAATTAAGTGGCGACTCTTAAACCAGTCTTAAAATATATTTTCTTAACAAAACACCCCCCGAAGAGAAAAATTGGATAACTCCAGAGAGAAATACATCACTGTCACTGAAAAAAGTAACATCCATAATAACATACAATCTTTTGGTAGGGGGGTGATAACATTTGTAGCCCTTTTTATGATGTAAATACCCAACAAAGAAACCGCAATTCACATGGATCAAGCTTGGAAAATTTGTTTTTAGGGAGATGAACAAAAACAACACAACAAAAGACTCGACGTTCCAATTTTAAGGTAGATGAGAGGTTAACATAAATGGAGAGTTGATTTAAGGGATTCTTAAAATGTAGAAAACTATTTGGTACACAATTTATTAAATAAAAAGTATAAAAACAGCATCTTCCCAAGATAAAGGTTGCATATGAGAACCAATCAAACATGCAGGCACAATTACCAATATATGACAATGTTTCCTCTTTGCTACTCCATTTTGCTGAGGTGTAAAAGGGCATGTAGTTTCCTAAATGATGTCATGATTTTAAAGATACAACTACAACACCTGATTAACATATTCTCCACCATTATCTGACCTAAAGATCTTTTATTTTGGCTGAAAATTGAGTTTGAATGGGCTTATGGAAATGAGTGGAAGCATTCAGAAACATTAGTTTTATTCTTCAGTAGATGAATCTATGTCATACGACTGAAATCATCACCAAGGATTACAAACCAACAATAGCTAGATGAAGTAGAAACTGGAGAGGGACCCTACACATCAGAGTAAATCAATGCAAACAACTCATTCACCTTGCTAGTACTTAATTGATTAGTAGTACAATAACTTTTAGATAATACACAAACATCACAATGAAAATTACAGAAATCGCACCCTAAGAATAAAGTTGGAAATAATTAGTTAATGTAGCCAAAAGAAGCATGACCAAAGCTTCCATGCCACATCCATATTTAGTGTTATTTAGTAGAAAATGAACCATGACTAGTTACAGCAATACCACGACATAAATCATCAACATAATAGATCCCCCATCTTTTAGTACCATGCCCAATAATCTCCTTATTGTTGAGGTCCTGAAAGATGCAGAAATGAGGATACATTAGTACTAGACAATTTAATTGTTGAGTTACTTGAGACGGAGATAAAAGATTATTGGATAGTGAAGGAACATATAATGTATACTTTAAAGACATGGAGAGTGTCAAAACAGTAGGTCCAGCACTAATAATTGGGATGATACACCATTTGCATTGTACACATGTGAACAATGTGGTTTATTAGGAGCTTGTAGCACCGACAAATCAAAGGTCATATGATTAGTAGCTCCGGAGTCAATAACCAATCTAGTGTCTTTATTAGAATCCATTTTAATCAGAGTTGATCCAATATTACCTGATGAGTATCTAGGTATAGCTAAATTAGAATCACCAATTTCAATTGAAACCAATGGCGTTCCAGTAGTTGGTAGTGATGTACTAGTTGTAACCATAGCAGCAACTTTCCCATCATTTTTATCACCATCCTTTCGATTTTTCCATTCCCTAGACTTCTTTTTCATTCAAACCATCCCACCAATCTGGATGTCCATGCATATTAAAAAAAATCAATTACATGTTTGGGATTTCCGCAATGAGTACAACCCTTTTCAGCATTGCTACAAGCTTTTGAATGGTAATTTCGATTCTGGAAAAAAAAGGTTGCTGCCATAGCCATGTTGGAATCGGTATTATTATTGAGCATTGGGTTCCTCCATTGTTCTTCACTTCAAACCATAGCAAAAGCAGATTCAGGATTGGGAAAAGGGTCTGCGCGAAGAATATCACTTCGTACACGATCATAAATATTATCCAAACAACCCGGAAGATATACACACTCTCTTCTTCGATTTCCTTTTGTCGAGCCTAGACAACATCAGATTATGTGAAAGAGATGGGCTTACGATGATCCAATTCCTGCCATATTTTGCACAAATCTGCAGAGTATGTAGAAATTTTTTGACAAGAGAGATCGTAAATAACTAATCTACCCGCCCCTTTATAATATGTTTGAGACATGGTGTCCCAAATACTCTTGTCCGTTGGAAGACGTACAAATAAAATAGTAATGTCGGGTTCCATGGCACTAATGAGCTAACTTTTAACAATAGCATTATTTATACTGTACTTTTCATAAGTGGTATCAATAGCAAGAGGCTCTTTAAATGTTCCCGATAAGTATCCCATTTTTCCACGACTTGCATCAAACATCTCAACAATTTGAGACCAAAGAGAATAATTCTTTCCATTGATTTTTACACCAAAATGAATGGTTATAAGTTCTAGAATGGTGTTTATATTTCCAGAGCATTCACCCATGGTAGAATTATAGACTTAGGATAAAGAAAAGATCATGATCAGAGAAATATTTTTTCTCTAATACGAACACAAAATGGGTCGAAAAAGATATGTTTTTTATGCATCAACTATACATCATATAAAATTACAAAGTTATGGGAAGATATTTACAATTCCAAAGAACATGATACTACAATCCTAAATGATATGCTACACAATCCACAATATAATCTAATTGTTCTACAATAATTAGGAACAAATCTACCCATTAACTACTTTTCCTAACTCATGCTAACAACTTCAAGATTTGAATCAGCCTATTGATTTTTGTTATTGATGATTTGGAATGAAAATACTTACTTTTCTTGTTGTTGGTGTTTAGTTGAATAGAATGCCTACCTTCTATATAGGAAAAAACTCGGGAGGCATTAAAAGCTAAGAATCAAGAGGTTTTCAAAACCTGCCATAAACATCGAGATTATGAACCAAATTTGTTCAATATCAACCACTCAAACCAACATGAATACCAATTTTTACTCAGCTTCAAAGTGTAGATAAAACTTAGCATCATCAGAAAAGAAAGAAAGCACATCAAACTAAAAGACCATTGTTTTTCTCAAACTCAGAATGGTTCCTTATTTTTAGGTTTAACTCAACTCTTTTGAGATTAATGATGCCACTCCACTAGTTAGTCCACCAAACAAAGAATTTAACTGATTGTTGCAGCTGGATCCCTCTTGCAAATAGGACAAATGTTCTTGAGCTTGATCCACTCTCTAATACAATCATAATGGTATATATGACCACAACTGATTTCTGTGAGTTTTTCCTTGTCGTAATAATCATCCTAAGTCAAACATGACCAAAAAAAGAAGGTCAAAACCAAACTGAAATAAGCTTACAGACTCAGGTTGGGGTTCTGAAATTAGGTGCCACTTACCAAGCATATGGAGCAACGCTCCTTGCCGTCAAGACATGTTGACTTGGGAAATTGGTATGTATGGGTCTTCATGCTTAAATAAAAAGCTAATAATCTCGATCCAGCACTTGTATGAGTGAGGCATTCCGAAATGCCCTAAAAGATGAAACACCATGTCACAGGATATCATATCCATAAAAAGAAAAATTCAAGTATAAAACTCTAAAGTATTGTGTTTTCAAAGCATTACCTGCCTAGAATCTTCATCTCTTACCTGAAATGTTGAACTCATTTAGGAGCAGACTCATTTAACAACAACATAAAGAAAAACATCTAAAATGGAAAAACATACAAGTTCGCAAGACTTTAGGAACTAGTTTTTAAAAGGTGATAAAAAGTCATCAAAGGCTTCAAGAAGATAAAAAAGGACGACACTTTAATTTCAACTTTCTATATGATATGTTTAAAGCCACAAGATTAAAGGACATTTTGGTATATTTGACGTTACCTTAATTTAGGACCACAAGATTGAAAAATCTTATTTTCTTAAACTACATGTCAAGTCAAACTAGGTCATTTTTAAAAAAAAGAGGGTGTATCATTTATAGGGGAAATGTTACTCCAACCGAAATGACTCATCAAACACTTATTAGATTTCAGGTCACAGTTGGGAGTTGAATGCTATCAAAACATCTGACAATTTTTGAAATATTATCAATTGAGAATAACTCAACCAGGAATTATTGGAAAATAACAATAAAATTTTTCTGAGTTGGCTTCTTTTTCTCTAAGCAACAAATACCTAAATTGCATATAAGTATACGATTAAGTTTCAAATCAACTTACAAACGTAGTTTAATTGATAAGACATGGAAAAGATCGATAAACAAAATAAGCTTGGTTAAGTGAAGAAGCTTAACTGGAATGAGGGCTTGTGTAGAAGAAAGAGCAAGATATCTATGATAAATGTCCTGGTAGGCTGGTCGTTGTTCCTCGATTGGGGACAGGATATTACCAACAATACTTTCAGTCATGCCTCCATCTATTGGCACATTAGCAGGGGTTGAATTTCCACTGAAGGTCGAGTTGTCAACGTTAGAATTGTTGCTCTCCATCTGAGGTTCAATGGAAAATGATTTGTTGTGTGTTAGAATGATTGGTTGAGATTTTGAAATCCTCTTTTCAAATGAAAAAACTAAAGTGTACAGGAAGCACATGAAAGAAACACGAGCAGACAATGGTTAGCACATATAAACAACACGTGTATTACACAAGAAGATCTTTAAAGAAACATTTTGAAAGCCTAGTGTATAGTATCATCTATAGAGATAATATTGTTACATGCTAACTTATTCCTCAATACTGTATTAAAAGTACTTTCATATGTCACAAGATTTTAATTACATCTAGAGTTATTTGTACTTGTAATAGATTAGAGTTTTTTAATAGATTCAATGGTAACTTGTTGGAGCTGCTAGCAAGAAAATCAATTTCCACTCACACTATTTTGTCCACATATATTATTGATATATGACTGAAGTACTTCTCTGATAATGGAATGACCGGAGGAAAACAAAGGAATTTAATTTCCACATTTTCAATAACTTATAACATAGTACTGAATTTTGCTTATATCACACTTGAGATTACGTAAAGAGAAAATATATCCTTAACTGCAAGGCTTCCCTAACCCGCAACCTCACATACACCTGAGGGAAATGATCCCCCTTTCCAAGACATGCCCACCCCCACGGCCACCCTATTAGTACGCTATTACCGTTACCGCACTCCACACACATTGTTACTGCTTAGTGTTTTACTGCATAGGTTGTTAGATATGTATCCACCATTTTAGGAGTTTGTTTTCTTATTTTCCTAGTTTGTTGGTTTAGTTTCCACAGTACGAAGGACTCTCTAATAGAGACTCTGTTATTTATTTTGTATATATATATATATATATCAGTTATTAATGATTAACAGAGATATCTTTTGCTTCATCTTGCTCAATTACTTATATGGTTTCAGAGCTCACATCTTAACTCTCCTGAGTTTTTTTTTCCGATCCTCTGACTACCACCACAGACTCAGTCTTACCATGCCTGATAACGTAAGGAATGCAGACTCCACTAGCAGCAACCCTAACCTTGTTGTTCAGTTTAATCCAGTGTTGCAGCTGCCGATAAAGCTTGTTGGCAGCCACAACTTTTCCACCTGGAAAGCACATGTTTCCATGCTTATGCATGGGCACAATCTGTCCGGCCATCTTGATGGTTCTTCTCCTGCTCCTTCATCAACTATCACAGAAAATAGTAGAGAAGTGGCGAACCTAGCTTACAGCACTTGGTTCCGCTAGGATCAATTGATCCAGAATGCCATAATGGCTTCTGTCGACCCGATAATTGCTTCAACCGTGGCTGCTGCCTCCACTTCTCAACTTGCTTGGGACTCCCTGCACCTGGCTTATGCCAACAATTCCCAAACATGAATATTTAGCCTTCGTGATCAGCCCGCATGCCTCTCAAAGGGCTCCCTTCCAGTCACAAATTATCTACATCAAGTACGCTCTATCTGCAATAAGCTCGCCACTGCCGGTGCTACAGTCACCAACGATGAGTTGGTTGTGAAAATACTGAGTGGTCTTGGGTCAGATTTTCGTGAGATTTCAGCTGCAATTCGAGCTAGAGATTCCATCATCTCATATGATGAGTTGTATGTGAAACTAATTGACTATGAACTCTTCCTCAAGCATGAGGAATTGAAGAAAGAACCTCCTGCAATAACTGCTGCAATGGTCACTCACAACAGATCCCCCAATTCCAATAACCGCACTGCTCGTCGACCCAACAACAACTCACAATGGCGTCCCAACAATCGTCCAAATGCTCCTGCACAAGGGTGTTACACCAATAACCATGTTCGATGTCAGCTTTGTAACAAACAGGGTCATACTGCAAACGTTTGCAGGTCACAGTCTCACAATCATTTAGAGGCAAAGGCAAATTTTCTTTCGAGTAACCACGCTCAGCAAACCAATGGATTGTAGACTCCAGTGCTACGCATCATGTCACAACAGACCCTACTAATCTGGATGAATATACCGGCTCAGAAGGAATAGCTATGGGTGATGGTAAACGAATCTCAATTACTCATCATGGTTCTACTTCATTAGTTGCATCAAATAATGCTTTTAGACTAGCCGATACTTTGTGTGCACCTGCTATCCACCAAAATATTCTTTCGGTATCAAAATTTTGTCAAGATAATCTGACCTCCATTGAATTTTTTCCATTTTCTTTCTCTGAAGAACTTGAAAATGCGGGTTCCGTTGGTATCCGTTCGGAATAGGAACAAGACTTTATGAATGGCCCAATTTCACAGTGAATAAGCCTACTGTTCAAGTTGCCACTACAACAGTTCCTCGCCAAGTCTGGCACCGTCGCCTTGGTCATCCCCATTCTAGACTCTTTAACTTTGTTTTGAATAAATATTCTCTCCCAGTTTCATTAACGCACAAGTTTCCTTTTGTAATTCTTGTTGTTCAATTAAAGTTCAACGTTTTCCATTCAATTGCTTATCTCTTATAAGTACTGCTCCGTTACAAATACTTTTTAGTGACTTGTGGGGTCCATCGCCTGTCCTTTCCATTGATAAAAATGATATTATTGTGTTTTCATTGATCAGTACACCAAATATATTTGGTCAGAGGCGTATGTATATGAAGGGGAGGGGGTTCACATGCACCCATCCTCCCCTTCCTAACCCCCTATATAATACTACTATTTTTCTAATTATCTTTTTAAAATTTGGTATTGGTGAACCCAAGGTTAAAAAGAATACTCTAGTATATTGATAAGTAAGTACAAATAGGGGGTGCATAACTTATAGATTTGTGGTTCAAATTTTTCTATCCACATTAACATTTTTAATTTTTAATTAATATAATAAAATGTGTCACTTTTCATAGATCTTTTTAATAATTTATAAATAAAAAGAGGTTCAAATACCCATATTTTTAGGTTGCATTAGCTATGTCTAGACCTTAAGCTAGAAGTGTCAATAAAGTCAAATTATATTTTTTACTTTCTTTTTCTCCTTTCCTTCTTTATTTAGACGTTTTTCTTATTTATTTATTTTAACTTTTTCTTTTGACTTTTCAAAGCCCTAAACTAAAAGGTAAAAAGGAGTAAAGACATCATATTGTTCTTCTTTTGGCTTCATTCCACATTTCCACTTTGTTGTTCATGGTGAAGGAGAAGTGAGATTTGAGAACAAGTAACAAGGTATGTTATCTAAATTTTTATTTATTTATTAATGTACTTCATTTGTTTTATATGTTTTTCTTGATTTATGAAGTGGTTCCATTATTTGATTGCTTGAATATTTAAATTTATAAGAATTTCTTGATTTCTAAATAGTTATCTAATAATTGTGATTCTTTTATTAGTAAACTTGTTATTTGTGCTAATATTTTTTAAAAATTATTTTGTTTTTATAAGATTGAATAGAAGTGTGAATATTTAATTTTGTAGGTAAAATAATTCTTACAATCAATTCATCAAATCATAAATGGATAAGTTTCTCATCAAGTTACCAAAGCCAAAAGATGGCCAACCAAGTTCTAGCTCTAATCAACCATTTGTGAGTTCACAAGTTGCTCCGGAAGTTCAAAGACATACAAATTCTTTTCCACTTTCAAATATGGATAATATACTTGATTTTAAATCTCTGGAAGCAGATCCCAAAGATCGAATGCCTATTTCATCTTATTGTCCTAATATTCGAAATGCGGTAAGGAGGTATTACATTCTAAAAAAGCCATGTCAACTTGTTGATCATATCTTCCCTAAAACTAAGTTTGGAGATAAAATGCGTCAATTTCGACCAACTTGGTTTAAGAGAAGATCTCAATGGTTGGAATATAGCATTAAAGCAGACACAACATTTTGTTTGTGTTGTTTTTTGTTCAAGAATGAACTTGAAAGTCGTGGAAATGCCGGAGATTCATTTACAAGAGATGGTTTTAGGTGTTGGAACAAAGCTTTAGAAAGATTCAAAAAACATGTTGGTAAGGTAAATAGTATCCATCATAAATGTTTCAATAGGATGCAAGATTTGAAAAACCACCGACAATTGATCCAATCTTCTTTTGACAAGCAAAGTGAAAAGGCAAGAAGTGATTATCGGATGCGTTTAAATGCCTCAATTGATGTAGCAAGATTTCTCTTGACATCGGGATTTCCATTTCGTGGACATGATGAAAGTGAAGGTTCCGAATATAAGGGTGCTTTTCTTGAACTTTTGAAATGGTATGGGGATAGAAGTTTTGATGTGGGAAGAGTAATATTAGGTAATGCTCCACAAAATGATATGATGATTTGTCCGACAATTCAAAAAGATATTGTGGAGGCTTGTGCTAAAGAAATAACTAAGGCTATCATTGAAGACTTGGACGGTGATTATTTTGGAATATTAGTTGATGAATCAAAGGATGTTTCTCATAAGGAGCAAATGGCTCTAATTTTGAGATATGTCAACAAAAGTGGAATGGTGATAGAGCGATTCTTGGGTATTGTCCACGTAAATGATACATCTTCTCAATCATTAAAAAAGGCAATTTATTCTTTGCTTTTGGATCACTCATTATGTACATCCAAAATACGTGGTCAAGGTTATGATGGGGCTAGTAATATGCAAGGGGAAATAAATGGTCTCAAGTCTTTGATTTTACAAGATACGTCATCTGCATATTCTATTCACTGTTTTGCTCACCAATTGCAATTGGCACTTGTAGGTCTTTCCAAAAAGAATTCGGATGTGGATAATTTTTTTTATGTTCTCACTAATATTTTGAATACTATTGGAGCTTCATTTAAACGCAGAGATTCACTTCGACAACATCAAGAAGATAAGTTGGAAGAGTTGCTTAAATTTGGAGAAGTTCATACAGGGCAAGGTTTGAATCAAGAACGTGGCCTCCAACGACCGGGTGATACTTGTTGGGGGTCTCATTTTAAAACCTTGGACAATTTCCTGATTCTTTTTTCTTCAATTGTTAATGTGCTTAAGGATATGAAACGTGATTGTCCATATCATCTTGATAGATTTGCGGCGGAAAATCTTTTGAGCAAGATTCATGAATTTGAATTTGTCTTTATGTTGCACTTGATGTTTAAGGTGTTGCTATTGACGAATGAGTTGAATAAAGTTTTACAAAAGAAAGATCAAGATATTGTTAATGCTATGGGATTGCTTGACCTTTCAAAGAAACGATTGCAAATGATGAGAGAGGATGAATGGGACTCTATGATGGATGAGGTTAGCTTATTTTGTGGTAAACATGGAATTTCAATTCCCAAAATGAATGAAGACTACTCTAATGGGAAGTCGAAGCGTAAGAGGTCCAATATTTCATATTTGCATCACTTTCGTGTGGAAGTGTTTTATGCCGTCATTGATTTGGCACTTCAAGAACTCAATAATCGTTTTGATGTGGTGACTAGTGACTTGCTCCTCGGTATGGCTAGTTTGAGTCCGGTTGATTCATTTGCTAATTTTCACAAGGATAGGATAATGAAACTAGCCGAGTACTACCCAAGTGAGTTTGGTGATAAAGAGCTTCGGGAACTCAATTTTCAACTTGATGATTTTATTGTCTATGCTCAAAAGTGTGATAGCAAGTTTCTCAACTTGAAGGGAATCAAGGATCTTGCAAAAGTGATGATAGAGACAAAACTAGATCAAACTTGGTCACTTGTGTATCTACTTGTGAAGCTAACTTTGATTATTCCTGTTGCTACCGCAAGCGTGGAAAGAGCATTCTCATCAATGAAGTACATAAAGAATGATTTGCGTAATAGGATGGATGAAGATCTTTTGAATGGTTGTTTAGTTTGCTATATAGAGCGTAGTATATTTAAAAATGTAAGTAATGATGTCATTATTGACCGTTTTCAAAATATGAAAACTCGTCGAGGACAATTGTAAGTGAATGATGTTTTTTGCTAATATATTACTATATAAAGATTGCTACTACCTACTTGCTCGTCAACTTGTTCTCACCGTAAAATTTATATAATTGAATTAATTGCCTATTTTGAAGATAATGGTGCCCCCATATTCTTGAGATCCTGGATACGCCTCTGTATTTGGTTGTACACCCTTAAAAATAAGCATGAGGTTCGAGACATTTTTTCCAAGTTTCATTCCTTAGTGGAAAAATATTTTAAAAAGAAAATGTCTTTCTTTGTACTGATGGAGGAGGTGAATATAAAGGTCTTGATCCGTATCTCCATTCTAATGGAATTGAACACCTTGTCTCCCCTCCTCATACACCATAAAGAGTGACCATCGCAGAGCGTCGTCATCGGCGAAACTGCCCAAACAATTTTACATGAGGCATCCTTAACTTCACATTTTTGGTCATTTGCTTTTCAACATGCCGTCTATCTTATTAATCGATTTCCCACACCATTGTTAAACAACACATCACCTTATGAAAAACTGTTTGGTGTCACAACCCGATACGATTCACTTAGAACCTTTGGTTGTTTATGTTACCCATGGCTTAAGCCTTACACCACCAATAAACTTGAGCCTAGGTCCACTCCTTGCGTCTATCTAGGCTTCTCTCTGGTTCATTATGCACACCAATGTTTTAATCCCATTCACTCTAAATTTTATATCTCACGTGATGTAAAGTTTTTTGAAAATATTTTCCCCTTTCACACACTATTCTCACATCTTCAAAATAAGTCTTTTACGCTCACATGTGAAGTTGTTGACACTCCTCCAGAAACTCAAACTCTTGCCCCTGATATTTCTTCACTTCCTTTGCCTCTTCCAGTACGTGAGACTTTACTGGTGGTCTATCTTGCGAATCCATCTCTTCCGGCCAGAATCATGCGCATTCCATGGGCTCAGGCAATTCACTTTCTCCTCTTTCTTCTTCCCCTTCTTCTTTGCAGCAACGTCAATCCTTTGTCCCTTCACATAATTCATCCCCCAGACTCATCACATATCGTCGTCGACTCAAAACACCACATT